ATATCTTCTAATAATAATAAACTAGATATGAAGGGACCACGTCCCTAGCCAAAACCAATAAAGACACACTATCTTTTTTTTTTTTTTTTTTCTCTAGATATACACATAAAACTACTGGCTCTTTTCTGTGCTACTTTGATCATTTTCACATTTTACTTCACTATACACTACAGATTTTCAAGTATTTCAAGCTTTTTTTTTTTTTTTTTTTTGGGTTATATTGCGAACTAGAATGGAGCGCGTGAGGAATTTTCTTCCTGGCATTGTATGATGTAAATGGAGGAGTGTTGGCGAGAGTTTGGTGGTGGCCTCATCTCCAGAGCTACAAGACCTTTCCCCACCTTCATTTTGTGACTCTGAATAGATTGTTAGTCCTTCAAACGGTTGAACATAGGCGATCTTCGAATCTTCTTTGGAGTTGACGATTCATCTGATTCCGACCCATGGAACCCTCCTTATTGTGCTTGGCTTCAGCATAAATGTGAGGTCGGTCACCCTCTCAATGCCTCCAAGCTACAGAATGACAAAATAAAAGGGACATTTCAAGTCAACACAACATTCAGCAAGCAAAGAACAGAGCAAAAACAGAGTAGGTGAGTACAGGGCATATACATGAACACAATTTCATTCAAACACGAAATGAACTACCAAACCAAATACACGGATCGACAAATGCATCAAAACTAAAGTCCCTGATAGCGTTAGAAAAATTAATATAAAAGAAAGAAACTAATAAAAATTAGAGTCATAGAAAGAAAAAAAAAAATGGTAGAAAAATACTAACCAAGTCAACTAACAAGGGAAAATCTCATACAATTGATCAAGCCTGAATGCAGAGAATGTGTAACTTGAAAAAACGAAAGAACATAAAGGGCAAGAGAAAAAATTAACCTTACAGCCAAGAGAACAGAATCTAAGGAATCAAGGAGGCTTCTGCAACAAATTTCACAAGTATTGGTGACCCCTTTTCCAGGCCTAGGTTGAGGGCGCTCATTCAAGAACACAATCTTGGCGCTGTTAATAATGTAAGTCTGTACGCAAGAAATGTCTATGTACTTCTGTATCTCATTACCCTCACACGTTGTGGTAGGAGGATCGCCTATGCTGATCCACTCACATTTCACTCACGTTCTTCAATGTCATCCATTTATAGTAATTGATGATTCTCATAATAAATTATTAAAATAATATGAAAAATAAACAAGACGCCATAAAGATTAAAGAAGAAGAAGAAAGAAACCTGAACAACACGGTGATCTTTGTGGTTAATCAAACAAAGAACAGAGAGCATTTCCCATACAATCCAACAGACAGTACATTCGCTTTTATTGGAGTCTCCATGAACAGCACAGGGAATGAAGTAGTTGGCTCTCATCATTGGCTCAACCATGGCGGACCCATATCATAGTCTTCAATTCGCCCTATCGGACTCACCTGATACCAAAAGTTCAACAAAATCTTTAGAGATTAGCATACCAGAATGAAAATTAAAGAGAAACGTACTATTTAGTCGGTAGATTAAAGCTGATGAATAGTGTAGTATTGATTGAAAGAAAATCCATGACTTTCTTGTGACGGCGTTAACCAACTCTAAATTCAGGTTTGATTATAAATAGCCAACTGGTCCAGCTCTAAACAAGCAATCAAAATCCGAAAATCAGAATGAGATTAAATCAGAAACAAGTGTTCTATCAGCAGAAGAAGAATCAATAAAATGGTACAAAAAGTGAAAAAAAAAAAAAAGAAGAAACCTTGTGAGTGTGGTGAAGAAGAAGAAGATGAAATAGGAATTGAAAAGGCCACCGAAAAATTGTGTAGGGTTAAAAAAATAAGAGAAGAGATTGATACGAGTGGATATGTTATATAAGCTAAAGACTGAAAGAGGAGATGAATGATACCAGGAAGGGAAAGTTTTTAGGGCGGTCACTAAAACAACGGCAAACAAAAATATTTACGTATATAATTAAAAGAGGAGGAAACGTGCCCATCTATTATAACAGCGAATATATCGACGGACTTGAATGAAGACAGCAATGACCAGATTCTTTATTAATTTTTTAATAATTTTATTAATTTAACTCCTTTTGTGTTATAGCTTTAATCAGAATGAAGACAATCTCGTTGAATCTTACGTGGTTTCCCAAAGGGATGCCGTACGATGAGAGGTAGGTTATGGATTCCATATAATTAGTGGATTATGATTCACGTGGAATTAATGACCGTCCACGTGTAATGTTTTGTGAGTTGGTTAGAAACGTGGAGTCAAAGTTATAAGCTCCATGTTAGAAACAAGACAAATAGTACAATCTAGTGACTGAATTAACTAACTGCCAATGTTTTGTCTGCACCACTCACAGCCTTCCTGCTTTATTCTCATTAATTAACCTCATTTTAAACATAATAAATACCCAGTTCTTGTTAATAATTGTACTAATGTCTATTTAACTCTTGTATAGATTAGATAAACGTTTTGTTGGTCAAAAAAAGGAAAAAAACTCTAGAAGAGAACAGTTAAAAATTTGTCTTCTAAGATATTGTCCAATTTTCTGAATGGAAACTCCTACGTGTCTCATTCTTCCAGTATGATAATATCTCCATAGATGATATTTTTTTGTCGAGTAAACGACTTTTTCCCCCCAAGGTTTGCCTAATGAAACTTTCCACCAAAAATTTCAAAACACCACTTCCACCAATGTTTATATTCTGTTAATATTTAAATACATTTCGTTTTCTCAGTCGGTGTTAACGAGTTACCAGGAGTCATGTAAGAGGGTTTTTATAGAATAGAGATTGAGAGAGGATAATGATGACCGATTGAATATTCGTCACTAAATTAGTCAAAAATCAGTAAAAAAGAAACTCGGTTTGCGATGATCGACAAAGATGAGAAATCAAGTATCAGAGTGAGAGTTTTGTAAAGAGAAGATGAAAGTTCAAATGATAGAAATGAAAAAGATTTTCGCGCGTTAGAATTTGCTTTGGTAATAACGACATTAACTTTGGGTGGAAAAATTGTATTTTAAAATTTTTGAAGTGGGAAAGGGTCATGAAGGAAACCTTGGGTGGGAAAAACGAGTCGTTACTCTTTTTTTATTAATAATTCTTATTAAAAGGGTGTATTGACTTGCGTGCCATATTGATTTTATAACACCATAAATATTTAAAAATAATAATAGTTTAAAACAAAGTAATAAAATAATGTTTATTAAATAGAAAAAAAAAACTTTAAAATATATATTTTTTTTTATAATCAGTTCCATATTTTCCCATGTGGCAGAACTCTTGCAGCGGAGTTCGATGGGTGTGCGGTAGCTGCTACGCTAGGAGGCGGCCAATGTGAGTCTGGGCTTAGTATGTTTCATAAGCCCATCGCAGCAAAGTAGTACAGTACCGTGTTATCTAGTTTCTACGGGTAAAGGATTTTCACTCATTTTATCTTGAAAAAGCACAATTTTTTAATGATTTTTCATGGATAATTGAGCTCAATAGCACGCAATACACGCACACATTGGTGGATGTGTGGGGTAGCTTGAGTCGAAGTTTGACATTGTTTGTTTGCATAATATTGAATTGATTGGAATGAGAGAATGCCAATCGCTATAATTTCAAAGGCTCGACGTTACTTTGCTGAAGGCATGGTACACAACCAGTCAATTACTCTCTTTTAATTCTCATATAAAATTGATCCAAAACCTGCTAAACTGTTTGACAACCTTAACAAAGATTCATCAACAACTCAATTCCACAAGTATATTTACAATCTACCAAACCAAACATTTTGTTAATAAATTGGGTAGTTCTTTTTTTTTTTAATTTATATGACAAGGGTGTTCAAGTCAATTACCGTATCTAACTAATCTTTCGAGGTTTGAAGTTAAGACTGGTAAGTTTCTAGTGGTCATCCTATTAACAGCTGAGGTAGATCGAACTCAAGAGGTGGTTGACTTGAGGTGAGTTTCTATTAAACCAAACAAGGGCAGTTCTGTTTGTTATCACAAAACCATCCCCAAAAAAACAAAGGATAAGACGCCAGGAATCTAGCAAAATGCAGGGATCATCTCAAGTAGCAAGTACAGTATTTATCATATATTTAACAGTCAAAAGATTTATCTTTCTGTGTGCCTGCCACTTGCGGGATCAGTAAATACAAAATTAGTGCTGTCATCCTACAGCTTTACCTTTGATTACAATAATAATTATCCTAATAATAATTATCCTATCCACAACCAAATAATTATCGTTGTTTAGATAGGAAAGTTTTAAGCATTATTACTCACACTACAGGCAGGCATCTTTCTCTTACCAAGGCAGATAAATTTTCCTACAATCATGTAATATATCAAATCACATCAAAGACCACAACAGAGACAGCTTGGGACCTAAAGGAAGCATCCCGAATCAGGACAAGAGAAATAATTGGTTGGTTCCTCTAACTTTGTATAACAGGCTACCGAACACAAGAGATGCCTACTGTCTACTCCAGTTGTACACTTTCTTTATCTGAAGTTGCAAGCACCGCAGGACTTTAACAAGACACATAAACTCTATTATCACCACATGAATTATACAAATATTAATGGAGCTGTGACATGTGGGTCTTGTACTCTTGCAAATCTAGACCCACATGCAAATATAGTAAGGAAAAATGTAAAAAAACTCAACATTAATACAACCACAGATGTACACTGAAACCTGAAATTCCGTAGTGTTTCCATTATAAAATGTTCATAAACTGTACATCAAATGGTAAAAATAAAGAGCTGAAAGATGGAAAAGAGGATGTAATGTTCCAGTATATCACTTTCTCCATTACCATTTGTTAATTCTCTATTCCTTTTGCTTTATACTGTTATGTCTTATCTCTCCTAAACTTTTTTTTTCTTTAGAAATGAATTTTAGTAAACAAAGTGTCCCCATCATTTATTACACAGCATCTAACTTTATGATTCTATCATCACTATTTCCCATCGTCAAGGCATCTTAGGTTGATTATCAAAATAGGACTTTCTAAAAGCTACTGTATCTCATTAACAGTAAGATTAAAAAAAAAAATGTCACAATACAATTTTACAAAGTTTCCACTGTATATAAAATTAAATGAAATTATTAAGGAAAAAGAAAAAAAAAATTATGAAACGAATCGTACAAGACACTGACCTTTATAGACAAATCAAAGCAATATAACTGGACCCAGGAACCTCCTTTCCCTTTTTTTTCATCAGTTTCTGGTCACTCATGCCATCCAGGAAAGAGGAGTGAACTTTCAGCAACCCAGATCAGAAATTATGAGAATGTATGCCACGCTTACATACTGAACAGTGTCATCCATTATCACATGGCGCACATGGGGATGAATGATGTTGGTGGGGTTTGTTCTCACTCTAAGCTAAATGAATCATACAAAACCCTGTAAATTTCCAATGGTTTTGCGCTCGAATTCCTTGATTGTGTTGGAAAGTTTCTTCATACTGTCATCATAAACATATGGGAGGTTATCGTACTTTGTCACAAGCTTCTTGGCCGATTGAGGGAGCAATTCCCTGCATAGTTCCTCATGTACTGTTATGGTGTTGTGATAGTGATAATAACGAATCTTTTTTTCTGTCTTGTGCAATGCCTTGCCAACCACATTCTCTGACATGTGCACTCCCGTTGCAAAGGCATTCTTAGCTTGAATTGCATACTTCCGATCCCTACGAATTCCAGTTCGGGTTTCCCTGAATAGTAGCTTCTCGAATCCCCATTGCCTAAAATTGTAAAACCAAAAACATCTGAGTAATTCTCATAATACAAATTGAAGTACGGATATACCTACATTTACATCCTTAACTTACCAAATTTATAAGCTCTTTATTGAGAGCAGATCTTATAAAAGTACCAGTGACTGTTTTGTGATTGTGAAGTTAATCTACCCTACAGAACAGAAGGTGCAATTGGTCCTACTTTCATTTAATATCAACATTAATTTCTATTTTCGAATTTCATCAATAAATTAAATTTCAATTGTGTTACAAATGCAGAATGTCTAGATTCAATTGTGGGGACGGAAGAACTGAGATACCTGGAATAATCTTGAGTGGAATCATTCAAGCAGAGCTTACTAGACATTGGGTTCTGCTCAATGGTGAACTGAGTATATTCAGAAAACTCCTTAAGAACAGATTCCAAAGTATTCCCCGAAGGCAAATAGATATATTCATCCACATCAAAGTAAAATGTCCAATTAGCAGCGTGTCTGTACCGATGCAAACAATCATTCACCACTAAAAATTGGTTATAGTAGTACCCATCAAAATCAGCCTGCGCCCTTATATCCTGAACCGTGGCTCTCCCAGCTCGCACCCACGGTTCCAGAACCGCCCTAACCGCAGGATTCACGCCACCAGCATCATGGAACACAAAATGTGAACTGGGTCCAAAGAACCAGGCATGATAAGCCATCCATTCCCGCATTCTAGAAGCGCTTAGATTCCCATACAAAGACGAACCACAGTACAAATATTCATACTGATAAGGTGGGTGAAACTTAGACTTATTGTAAGAACCCGGTGCCTCTTCCAAAGCAGTAAATTTCTCGTACTTCCTCTGAGATTCACCGTAGTACGCATTTATCATAAGCTTACCACCTATGTTATCAGAATTAGGAGTAACAGAAAAAGTACAATTAACCACAACGACTGTATAAACGCGACCGTAGCCCCAGTCGGGAAGTATTTTATAAGCTTTTGCCCGAACAGAAGAACCGTTGTTAGAGATCCACTCGCATTTGAACCAGGGCCGACCAAACACATGAATGGGCTTAGAAGCGAGGCCCACCACCGCGAAGGTCCGTTCACCGCCTCTGTATGCACCCATCTGAACAAAAAGAGCTGCAGCGTTGCCATAAGCTTGAAACACTCTCTTGTTGGGATCGATGGGCTTTTGTGTTGAGAATTTTTTAGCGGCGGAGTAAACGGGTGACGGTGAAGATGAATTAACGGAAGCAATGAAAGTAGTAGTAGAAGAATTAGTAGTAGTAGTAGAAGTAGTATTAAGAGAAGCTGAAGGTGATGGAGCTGAACAAGGACGAGTGGTGAAGAGGAGATTTTGATAATAAGGAGGAAGATTCCATATAAGCAGAACGAGTGTCAAGGCTAATAATGTAGCAACTAACGGTTTCGTTTCGAAGACGGTGAAGAGTTTGGAAGTGGTGGTGGTGGAGACGGATGGCGGTGGGCTTTCTTTCCTCATCTGCGGCGACAGTTGTCGGTCTGCGCGTGAGTGAGGGGATGATTTTGAGACTTCGTAAACTTCTATTTTATTAAAGAGAGGGGTCAAAATAAGGTCAGCTAAGACACTTGTTGAGCTGGATGGCTTACATACATAGCCTTTGATCTCTTCATAATTACAAAACTGACACTATCACTTCATCTGGTGCTGGTTCGGTAATCATAATAATTTCATAGATTTGGGTAGTCCCTACTCCCTAGTAAAAGTAAAAGTAAAAGTCATAAAAAATGGAGCCCACCCTAACCTCCCTACGATCCAACGGCTCCTTTTTATTTGTTGGTATATTTAGGAAATTGGACTATTCAAGATTGTAATTTTCCTAGTTATAGTAGGTTACGAAATTATTATGGTCTAAAGAAAGAATGAAGATTGTGTCCGAGATTGAGGGAGATATACAGTACAGTGTAAAATTATAACTTAATACTAGGGAATCTTGAATTTGATTTACACTTGATAATCAATGTATGGCATGTGATGATTTTTCTAACGTCTTGAGAAAGGAAATTAAATTATGGCAAGATTTTACTAATCTAAGTAAGTTATCCAGAGAGGTTTTATGTTCGAATCCTATAAAATGGTTATCTATCATATTTATGTCTTATGTAATCTTGTGAGTAATTAAACTGCACGTATACTAATCCAAATACCCCGTATCCAAATCCAAAGCTAACTATATTGTAGACTAAAATTGCCTTCCTTAGTTGATAATTATGAAAGAGGAAACCAGACTAAACAACTAATAAACTAGTAATCATTGATCTGTTAAGAACTAAATGCCAAATTTAAAGCACCTCACACAGCATTAAACATTATTTTCCAAGAAGCTTCCGCTATTGCACAAACCCAATCTTATCTCTGCTGTACAACACTATTTATGTTATCATAATATTATGTGTGATGGTGATGGGTGTCTCGGTAATATGACTGAAAAAACGGTGGCACAAAGAAAAGTGTAAGACAGTAAGAGCACCAAACTAAAATGATTGAAGCAAGCAAATACCGTTGTCGCCAGTCACCACCATCCTTTTTATTCTGGCCCCATTTCGTTGGCTTTATAATTTAGCCTAGTTTAACCCCATCTCTAATTGGCTGTTAACCGCATAATTTACAGCTACAAAATCTAATGATTCAGTCTGTCAAGACGTGTCGGTGGTTATAAACTGTGTATGATACAGAACTCTTTCTTCGTCAGCTTAATTTCTTCACATATTTGTAACGTTAATTGAAGCTGGGACCAAGGCAAATTCTGAATATGATTAGAGTAATTGGTAGTGATGTGTAAGGGGTAACGGAATCTAACAGCTACCTCTAGCTGTAGGGTGGGGACTGTTTGGCTTTGGCGCCATCCTGTTAATTGGCAAAGCTAAGTTTAGCTTAACTTAAGTGGTGTCGGTAGAACAATTTATGACGTCAAATGGAGCAGCAGTTAGCTACAGTGGCGAATGGTGGTGGTATGTGTAGACTAGATCTTGAGCAAGTTTTTGTGATGAGGCGTCTCCATTTCAGGTTGAAATGGAGTTGGTGTTCGAGGGACACATTGGATCCNTTTTTTTTTTTTTTTTTGGGTTATATTGCGAACTTAGAATGGAGCGCGATGAGGAATACCCTTTCTTCTCCTGGCATTGCTATGATTGTAAATGGGAGGAGTAGTTGGCGAGAGTTTGGTGGTGGCCTCATCTCCAGAGCTACAAGACCTTTCCCCACCTTCATTTTGCTGACTCTCTGAATAGATTGTTAGTCCTTCCATCAAACGGTTGAACATAGGCGATCTTCGAATCTTCTTTGGAGTTGACGATTCATCTGATTCCGACCCATGGAACCCATCCTTATTGTGCTTGGCTCTCAGCATAAATGTGAGGTCCGGATCACCCCTCTCAATGCCTCCAAGCTACAGAATGACAAAATAATAAGGGACATTTCAAGTCAACACAACATTCAGCAAGCAAAGAACAGAGCAAAAACAGAGTAGGTGAGTACAGGGCATATACATGAACACAATTTCATTCAAACACGAAATGAACTACCAAACCAAATACCACGGATCGACAAATGCATATAAAACTAAAGTCCCCTGGATTAGCGGTTTAGAAAAATTAATATAAAAGAAAAGAAACCTAATAAAATATTAGAGTTCATAGAAAGAAAAATAAAAAATGGTAGAAAAATACTAACCAAGTCAACTAATCAAAGGGAAAATCTCATACAATTTGAATCAAGCCTGAATGCAGAGAATGTGTAACTTGAAAAAACGAAAGAACATAAAAGGGGAAGAGAAAAAACATTAACCTTACAGCCAAGAGAACAGAATCTAAAGGAATCAAGGAGGCTTCTGCAACAAATTTCACAAGTATTGGTGACCCCTTTTCCAGGCCTAGGTTGAGGGCGCTCATTCAAGAACACAATCTTGGCGCTGTTAATAATGTAAGTCTGTACGCAAGAAATGTCTATGTACTTCTGTATCTCATTAACCCTCACCACGTTGTGGTAGGAGGATCGCCTTATCTGCATCCACTCACATTTCACTCACGTTCTTCAATGTCTATCCATTTATAGTAATTGATGATTCTCATAATAAATTATTAAAATAATATGAAAAATAAACAAGATTCGCCATAAAGATTAAAGAAGGAAGAAGAAAGAAACCTGAACAAGACGGTGATCTTTGTGGTTAATCAAACAGTAAGAACAGAGAGCATTTCCCATACAATCCAAACAGAACATGTTACATTCGCTTTTATTGGAGTCTCCATGAACAGCACAGGGAATGAAGTAGTTTGCTCTCATCATTGGCTTCAACCATGGCGGACCCATATCATAGTCTTCAATTCGCCCTATCGGACTCACCTGATACTCAAAAGTTCAACAAAATCTTTAGAGATTAGCATACCAGAATGAAAATTAAAGAGAAACGTACTATTTAGTCGGTAGATTAAAGCTGATGAATAGTGTAGTATTGATTGAAAGAAAATACCATGACTTTCTTGTGAACGGCGTTAACCAACTCTAAATTCAGGTTTTGATTATAAATAGCCAACTGGTCCAGCTCTAAACAAGCAATCAAAATCCGAAAATCAGACTGAGATTAAATAGAAACCGTGTGTCTATTACAAGAAGAATAACATAAAATGGTACAAACAGTGAAAAAAAAAAAAAAAAGAAAAACCTTGTGAGTGTGGGAAGAAGAAAGAAGAGTGAAATAGAAGATATGAAAAGGCCACCGAAAAATTGTTGTAGGGTTAAAAAAAAGAGAAGAGATTGATACGAGTGGATATGTTATATAAGCTAAAGACTGAAAGAGGAGATGAATGACCAGAAGGGAAATGTTTTTAGGGCGGTCACTAAAACAACGGCAAACAAAAATATTTACGTATATAATTAAAAGAAGGAAAAACTGCCATCATTATAACAGCCGAATATATCGACGGACTTGAATGAAGACAGCAATGACCAGATTCTTTTATTTAATTTTTAATATTTATTAATTTAACTCCTTTTTGTGTATAGCTTTAATCAGAATGAAGACAATCTCGTTGAATCTTACGTGTTTTCCAAAGGGATAGCCGTACGATGAGAGGTGGGTTAGGATTCCATATAATTAGTGGATATGATTCACGTGGAATTAATGACCGTCCACGTGTAATGTTTTGTGAGTTGTTAGAAAACTGGAGTCAAAGTTATAAGCTCCATGTTAGAAACAAGACAAATAGTACAATCTAGTGACTTGAATTAACTAACTGCCAATTTTTGTCTGCACCACTCACAGCCTTCCTGCTTTATTCTCATCTTAATTAACCTCATTTTAAACATAATTAAATACCCAGTTCTTGTTATAATTGTACTAATGTCTATTAACTCTTGTATAGATTAGTAAAGACTTTTTGTTGTCAAAAAAAGGAAAAAAACTCTAGAAGAGAACAGTTAAAAATTTGTCTTCTAAGATATTTGTCCATTTTTCTGAAGGAAACTCCTACGTGTCTCATTCTCTCCGAGTATATAATATCTCCATAGATATATTTTTTTGTCGAGTAAACGACTTTTTCCCACCCAAGGTTTGCCTGAATGACTTTCCACCAAAAATTTCAAAAACCACTTTTCCACCCAATGTTTATATCTGTTAATATTTAAAATACATTTCGTTTTCTCAGTCGGTGTTTAACGAGTTACCAGGATCAGGTAAGAGGGTTTTTATAGAATAGAGATTGATAGATTGATAATGATGACCGATGAATATTCGTCACTAAATATCAAAAATCAGCTAAAAAAAGAAACTCGGTTTGCGATGACACAATAGATGAAATAAGTATCAGAGTGAGAAGATTTTGTAAAGAGAAGACTAAAGTTCAAATGATAGTGAAAAAAGAATTTCGCCGTTAGAATTTCTTTGATATAACGACATTTACTTGGGTGGAAATTTGTATTTTAAAATTTTGAAGTGGAAAGGGTCATAAGGCAAACCTTGGGTGGGAAAAAGTCGTTCGATTACTCTTTTTTATCTAATAATTCTTATTAAAGGGTTATTGACTATTGCGTGCCTATTGATTTTATAACACCATAAATATTTAAAAATAAATTAATAGTTTTAAAACAAGTTAATAAATAATGTTTAATTAAATAGAAAAAAAAACTTTAAAATATATTTTTTTTTATAATCAGTTCCATATTTTCCCATGTGGCAGACCTTGCAGCGGAGTTCAGATGGGTGTGCAGTAGCTGCTACCAAGTGAGTCGGCAATGGAGTCTGGGCTTAGTATGTTTCATAAGCCCATCGCATCAAGTAGTACAGTACCGTTTATCTAGTTTCTCACGGGTAAAGGATTTTCACTCATTTTATCTTGAAAAAGCCACAATTATTTTTAATGATTTTTCATGGATAATTTGAGCTCATATGGCACGCAATACCGCCACATATGGTGGATGTGTGGGTATGCTTGAGTCGAAGTTTGACATTGTTTTGTGCATAATATTGAATTGATTGGAATGAGAATGCCAATCGCTATAATTTCAAAGGCTTCGACGTATACTTTGCTGAAGGCATTGGTACACAACCAGTCAATTATCTCTTTTATTCTCATAATAAATTGATCCAAATTACCTGCTAAACTGTTTACAACCTTAACAAAGATCATCAACAACTACATTATCACAGTATATTTACATATCTACCAAACCAAACATTTTGTTAATCAACTGGGTAGTTCTTTTTTTTCTTTTTAATTTATAGACAAGGGTGTCAAGTCAATTTACGTATCTAAACTAATCTTCGAGGTTTTGAAGTTAAGGACGGGTAAGTTTCTAGTGTCACTCCTATTAACAGCTGAGTAGATCGAACTCAAGAGGTGGTTGACTTGAGTGATTTTCTATTAAACCAAACAGGGCAGTTCTGTTTGTTCATCACAAACCACCCCAAAAAACAAAGGATAAGACGCCAGGAATCTAGCAAAATCAGGGATCATCTCAATTAGCAAGTACAGTTATTTATCATATATTTAACAGTCAAAAGATTATCTTTCTGTGTGCCTGCCACTTGCGGGATCAGTAAATACAAAATTGTGCTGCATCCTCCAGCTTTACCTTTGATACAATAATAATTATCCTATCCACACACCAATAATTATCGTTGTTTAGATAGGAAGTTTAAAATTATTACTCACTACAGCCAGGCATCTTTCTCTTACCAACAATCATGTTATATATCAAATCAATCAAAGACCACACAGAGACAGCTTGGGACCTAAAGAAGCACCCAACAGGACAAGAGAAATAATTGGTTGGTTCCTCTAATTTGTATAACAGGTACCAACACAAGATGCCTACTGTCTACTCCAGTTGTACACTTTCTTTATCTGAAGTTGCAAGAACCGCAGGACTTTAACAAGACACATAAACTGTATCATCACAACATGATTAATACAATATAATGGAGCGTGACATGTGGTCTTGTACTCTTGCAAATCTAGACCCTGCAAATATAGTCAGGAAAAATGTAAAAAAACTCAACATTAATACACCCAGTTACACTGAAACCTGAAATTCCGTAGTGTTTCCATTAAAAATGTCATAAACTGTACATCTAATGGTAAAAATAAGAGCTGAAAGATGGAAAAGAGGATGTAATGTTCCTCATATCACCTTTCTCCATTACCATTTGTTAATTCTCTTTCCTTGCTTTATACTGTTATGTCTTATCTCTCCTAAACTTTTTTTTTTTTTTCTTTAGAAATGAATTTTAGGAAACAAAGTGCCCCATCATTCATTACACAGCATCTAACTTTATGATTCTATCATCACTATTTCCCATCGCAAGCATCTTAGGTTGATATCAAAATAGGACTTTCTAAAAGCTACTGTATCCATTAACATAAGATTAAAAAAAAAGGTCCACATACAATTTTACAAAGTTTCCACTGTATATAAAATTAAATGAAATTATAAGGAAAAAGAAAAAAAAAATTATGAACGAATCGTACAAGACACTGACCTTTATAGACAATCAAAGCAATAAACTGGACCCAGGAACCTCCTTTCCCTTTTTTCATCAGTTTCTGGCCACTCATGCCATCCAGAAAAGGAGTGAACTTTCAGCAACCCGATCAGAAATTATGAAAGGTATGCCACGCTTACATACTGAACAGTGTCATCCATTATCACATGCGCACAGGGGGATGAATGATGTTGGTGGGGTTGTTCCACTCAAGCTAAATGAATCATACAAAACCCTGTAAATTTCCAATGGTTTTGCGCCGAATTCCTGATTGTGTTGGAAAGTTTCTTCATACTGTCATCATAAACATATGGGAGGTTTCGTACTTTGTCACAAGCTTCTTGGCCGATTGAGGGAGCAATTCCCTCATAGTCCTCATGTACTGTTAGGTGTTGTGATAGTGATAATAACGAATCTTTTTTTCTGTTTGTGCAATGCCTTGCCAACCACATTCTCTGACATGTGCTCCCGTTGCAAAGGCATTCTTACTGAATTGCATACTTCCGATCCCACGAATTCCATTCGGGTTTCCCTGAATAGTAGCTTCTCGAATCCCCATTGCCTAAAATGTAAAACCAAAAACATCTGAGTATATCTCATAATACAAATTGAAGTACGATATACCTACATTTACATCCTTAACTTACCAAATTTATAAGCTCTTTATTGAGAGCAGATCTTATAAAAGTACCAGTGACTGTTTTGTGATTGTGAAGTTAATCTACCCTACAGAACAGAAGTGCAATTGGTCCTACTTTCATTTATATCAACATTAATTTCTATTTTCGAATTTCATCAATAAATTAAATTTCAATGTGTTACAATGCAGATTGTCTAGATTCAATTGTGGGGACGGAAGAATTGAGATACCTGAATAATATGTGGAATCATTCAAGCAGAGCTTACTAGACATGGGGTTCTGCTCAATGGTGAACTGAGTATATTCAGAAAACTCCTTAAGAACAATTCCAAAGTATTCCCCGAAGGCAAATATATATTCATCCACTCAGTAAAATGTCCAATTAGCACGTGTCTGTACCGATGCAAACAATCATCACCACTAAAAATTGGTTTAGTATACCCATCAAAATCAGCCTGCGCCCTTATATCCTGAACCGTGGCTCTCCCAGCTCGCACCCACGGTTCCAGAACCGCCCTAACCGCAGGATTCACCCACCAGCATCATGGAACACAAATGTGAACTGGGTCCAAAGACCCAGGCATATAAGCCATCCATCCCGCATCTAGAAGCGCTTAGATTCCCATACAAAGACGAACCACAGTACAAATTTCAACTGATAAGGTGGGTGAAACTTAGACTTATTGTAAGAACCCGGTGCCTCTTCCAAAGCAGTAAATTTCTCGTACTTCCTCTGAGATTCACCGTAGTACGCATTTATCATAAGCTTACCACCTATGTTATCAGAATTAGAGTAACAGAAAAAGTACAATTAACCACACGACTGTATAAACCGACCGTAGCCCCAGTCGGGAATTATTTTATAAGCTTTTGCCCGAACAGAACCGTTGTTAGAGATCCACTCGCATTTGAACCAGGCCGACCAAACACAAATATGGGCTTAGAAGCAAGGCCACCACAGCGAAGGTCCGTCACCGCCTCTGTATGCACCCATCTGAACAAAAAGAGCTGCACGCGTGCCATAAGCTTGAAACACTCTCTGTTGGATCGATGGGCTTTTGTGTTGAGAATTTTTTAGCGGCGGAGTAAACGGGTGACGGTGAAGATGAATTAACGGAAGCAATGAAAGTAGTAGTAGAAGAATTAGTAGTAGTAGTAGAAGTAGTATTAAGAGAAGCTGAGGTGTGGAGCTGAACAAGGACGAGTGGTGAAGAGGAATTTGATAATAAGGAGAAGATTCCATATAGCAGAACGAGTGTCAAGGCTAATAATGTAGCAACTAACGGTTTCGTTTCGAAGACGGGAAGAGTTTGAAGTGGTGGTGGTGGAGACGGATGGCGGTGGGCTTTCTTTCCTCATCTGCGGCGACAGTTGTCGGTCTGCGCGTGAGTGAGGGGATGATTTTGAGACTTCGTAAACTTCTATTTTATAAAGAGAGGGGTCAAAATAGGTCAGCTAGACACTTGTTGAGCTGGATGGCTTACATACATACCTTTGTCTCTTCATAATTACAAAACTGACACTATCACTTCATCTGGTGCTGGTTCGGTAATCATAATAATTTCATAGATTTGGGTAGTCCCTACTCCCTAGTAAAGTAAAAGTAAAAGTCATAAAAAATGGCCCACCCTAACCTCCCTACGATCCAACGGCTCCTTTTTATTTGTTGGTATATTTAGGAAATTGGACTATTCAAGATTGTAATTTTCCTAGTTATAGTAGGTTAAGAATTATTATAGTCTAAAGAAGAATGAGGATTTGGTCCGAGATTGATGGAGATTACAGACTACAGTACAGTGTAAAATATAGTTAATACTAGGGAATCTTGAATTTGATTTACACTTGGTAATCATGTATGGCATGTGATATTTTTCTAACGTCTTGAGAAAGGAAATTAAATTATGGCAAGATTTTACTAATCTAAGTAAGTTATCCAGAGGTTTTATGTTCGAACCTATAAATGGTTATCTATCATATTTTGTCTTATGTAATCTTGTGAGTAATAAACTGCACGTATACTAATCCATACCCCGTATCCAAATCCAAAGCTAACTATATGTAGACTAAAATTGCCTTCCTTAGTTGATAATTGAAGAGGAAACCAGACTAAACAACTAATAAACTAGTAATCTTGATCTGTTAAGAACTAAATGCCAAATTTAAAGCACCTCACACAGCATTAAACATTATTTCCAAGAAGCTTCCCTATTGCACAAACCCAATCTTATCTCTGCTGTACAACACTATTTTGTTATCATAATATTAGTGTGATGGTGATGGTGTCTCGTAATATGACTGAAAAAAACGGTGGCACAAAGAAAAGTGTAAGAACGTAAGAGCACCAAACTAGAATGTGAAGCAAGCAGATACCTTTGTCACCAGTCACCACCATCCTTTTTAGTCTGGCCCCATTTCGTTGCTTTATAATTTAGCCTATTTAACCCCATCTCTAATTCTGTTAACCGCATATTTACAGCTACAAAATCAATGATTCAGTCTGTCAAGACGTGTCGGTGGTTATAAACTGTGTATGATACAGAACTCTTTCTTCGTCAGCTTAATTTCTTCACATAGTGTTAACGTTAATTGAAGCTGGGACCAAGGCAAATTCTGAATATGATTAGAGTAATTGGTAGTGATGTGTGAGGGGTAACGGAATCTAAACAGCTACCTCTAGCTGTGGGGTGGGGACTGTTTGGCTTTGGCGCCATCCTGTTAATTGGCAAAGCTAACTTTAGCTTAACTTAAGTGGTGTCGGTAGAACAATTTATGACGTCAAATGGAGCAGCAGTTAGCTACAGTGGCGAATGGTGGTGGTATGTGTAGACTAGATCTTGAGCAAGTTTTTGTGATGAGGCGTCTCCATTTCAGGTTGAAATGGAGTTGGTGTTCGAGGGACACATTGGATCCCCTATTGGCCCATAAAAGTGAAAGTTACAGGGAATTGGTCTTCAGAAATTTGTGAATGTGAGTTGTGTTGTGACCGACAGTGATGGGCTATCTGATATGGGCCACTCTTAACTTTCTTGTCAATGTGATTTAGATTCTGTGGTGGTTAACAGACCTTTTCCTAGCCATGGAGACGCCTGATCAGAAGACTCTAATCAGCCAAGCTTTGGAGTTTGGACCACCAACCCTCCACGACGACTCAACACAAGTTTGATATCTTCCAGCTACTCAACATGGTAACGAGCTTTCAAATATTGGCCCAAAGATGGAGTGAACAAACCTTTTTGAATTATGATATATTTTTAAGGTGATTTTACCCTATCTAAACCATTCAATTATGGTTTAAAAGAGTCTTATGTAAAAGTAATACCATTCCCTTCCCTCTTTGTTTATTGACAACAATAAACACGATTCAAAGGTTTTTAACTCTTGAATAATAATGTTTGAAATAATGTATAGCTAATTCATGAAGTTCTCCAAACAACTTGGGAAACGGGTCTAGGGAGATAATCTTCCATGTCTCTTTCAAACACTATGAAAAACAGTATGATGCATATCGTCTAGCACATTGAAAGCATTTTGTTGAATTGAAATGTTAAAGATAAGTTAGATTCGAGTACCCAATTGAAGGGTGAAGGAAATAGCCAAGTTAGATCCATTTGAAAGGACTTGTAAAAAACCTAACTTATCCACGTATCACCCCACCAGGTAACTTGGAAATGGAAGTGAAAGACGTGGCGCAATATGCTCTGGATAATTAAGGATTAAGAAAGAGAGAAAGAGAGAGAGAGAGAGAGAGAGAGAGAGATACATGTAATCCAAATAGCATTTGGGAAAATTTAATCACGTAGTTTGAAAGTCTTAAAGTAGACAATAGAGAATACTTCTCTTTAATTTTATATTTTTGGGGAATTAAATGTATTTTCTTGGTTGGGTAGGAATCACTTGTAAAACAAGAAGTGATAATTGGACAAAGGTGACCCATAGTCAAGTGATTAAGAAAAGAATCCTAATAGATATATAAATGTCGTAATATGCCTTACAACTCACATCAGTTGAATGGAAAAACTAAGCAAAGAGAGATATCATTTGTAGAAATTAAATTCTGAATGGACATCTCCATCCATCTTCCATGAACCTGATGGAGCAAATTCAATACGTAAAAGAAGAAGCAAAGTTTTTTCCTTTGTTTCACTTTTAAATCGAATATTTGTTGTATAGTCGTATATATATTATATTATTCATAGATGCAGATGCAATGAAGGCTTCAAAAAGGTGAAGAAATCCGTAGGAAAAAACCCAAAAGCTACTGAATACACGACATGTAATTGCCCATTATTAAAGCTGAAAGTATACAACCTTGACTTTCATGCCATATGGGATATATTATTAGTTTCTTTCTTCCTCGATTGTTCTACCTGTGACTGTGAGGAATCAAAACATTTTCTGGCCCCTAGTCTATATAATATATTCTCCCGTGCAGCCCATCAAGCGAACATATAACAATAGGTTAATATTAATTAATTCGAATAAATAATCTATTTAAGCACTATCCTTCTACAATATGGTTAATGATTGTGTATTTTTAACTTAAAAGTTGGATTATAAAATAAACCAATCAAGAATATACAACATAGATTATGCATACCTAAAATATACATATTTTCCGCCCTCGTTTTGTTCTTTGTATATAGAATAGAACAGTGATTACGGCACATGCAATACTGTCCAAGCTGTCTCTGAATTAACCTAAGAATGATCAACCAAGCATCTAACTCTTTATGCATGGGCTCCAAATAGTGTCAACTTTTTTCTTGCATAAATAGATTCGACCTCTTGTTGGCAATATGCACCACTAAGAGAATTGATTGAGTTATTGAGAGAAGTTCACTATGCTGAACAACAATACTAAACCATTTCAGATGAAGAAATTCACCACAATGGAACTCAGCACAAACCCTCCTCAACCAACACTTAATTCAGCAAAACCACCACCACCACGACCACCACCACGATCAACTTCATTTGGCCCAAGAAGAACTCCTCAGAGTGAATTCCCAACCTCTCCACGATTCTTCATGGGAGAAAAAATCTTTCATTTCAATCACCCACAACACCCCTTATTAGAAATGGACTCTCCCGATCTCTTTACATGTGGAGGTTGCAAAGAGTATGGCTCAGGCAAGAGGTACTCTTGCCAACAATGTGATTTTCAGCTACACCACTTTTGTGCCTTACCTCCTCAATCTCTTGTCGGCCATCCCTTCCACATCCACCACCAGCTCCTTTTTCAGACAAAACCAGGTTAGTGTCAGTAATATATCTTTTAATTATGTTATCTAGTTAACGTATAATTAAGAGTCTGATTTAATGAAATATTTTATTTTCCTTTAGTTTACAAAGGAGGGATGCGAAAATCAAAGTGTGATGCGTGTAGCAAAACCATCAAAGGTTACAATTTTCGGTGCAGCGCATGTAGCTTCCAAATGCATCCTTGCTGTGCTAAGCTGTCTAACGAAATGAACTTTAATTCGCTCCATCGACATACTGTAAAACTTTTACCAGTGACACCCTCAACAAATACTGGTGATCAACCTGGGTTTGTTTGCGGTGAGTGCAGGAAGAAGCGATCAGGAAGAGTTTACCGCTGCTCAGTTCCAGCTTGCGATTACCATCTCCATGTAGTTTGCTCTAAGAACATGGTGAATGGGCTCCATGCAAATAGTATAAAGAACGTAGATAAACCAAGCAGGTTTGGAGTTGCAGCAAGGGCTGCCTCTCAAGTGTTCGTAGATTTCCTTGGAGGGTTGATGGAAGGACTTGGAGAAGGTGTTGGTGAAGTCCTTGTTTCAAATATGACAAGAGGAAAGAACAATAATAATGCTGTCAAGTAGAGTTGATCAAGACTGATGGTTCGAGCCAATAAGATGATACATATATGTGATTAATTAATGGTTGAGTTTGGAGTTTGGAGTGCTAATTTTTATTTATTATTTCATACATATATATATATAGATATGCTGCAGATGTTGTTTATAGCAGATGAAATTAAGTTCTGATTAAGAGTCCAAGGGATGTATATAGATTTATCTAAGTTGTTCTTTTAAATTATACACATTATATTAGGAATGATAACACGGAATTAACTAATGACACTTAGTTAGACAAGATTACACTTACTTTAGTTATATAAGACCAAATGATTGACACAATATGTATATACTTACGCTATATGAACTTTTAAAACATACATTTACCGACTCTTAAATATGAATGCTTAGGAACAGGGTTGTTACTAGCTGGAAACCAGTGAGCCGCGATCTGTCTAGCTCATTATATGTAACCCATATGAGAAAAAATGGAGGAGTATATCTATCTCATTATAGATATATATATATATATATATTAATTTTTTCTTCTCTTATCACGGCAGATTTTTTTATTGCTTAGGATCCATAAGAAATAATCTGCATACCCCATTTCTTAAATCATTAGCTTTTAACAACATCTATTTGTTCCTAACTCGAGGGAGAATTTCAAAAGCCCTGCTCGAGTTTTGGCTTAATTTTTCAGTTTTTTATTTTTTTAAGTACAAAGCAAACCTTGTATAACTTTAATTTTCTGAAGGTTTCACTCCTTCAAACTTCGGCGCGTTGCTTACTGTCATCTATATTTATCTTGTATACGAAGAGTAAACTACTTTTTCCCACCGAAGGTTTGCCTTAATAACATTTTCTACCCAAAAAGTTTTAAAATACCAGTTTCTCATACAAAGTCAATATTCCGTTACTATCTAAAGCCGATTCCGATAGCAAAAAATCTCTCTGTCACGAGCATTTAAACCTCCGGTTTTCTCTCTACAAAACATCTCTCTCACTCCTGCACCTGATTTCTTGTCGATTGTCGACCATCGTAAAGTTAAAGTTTCTTGTTCTTAGCTGACTTCTAGCTAATTTTGACGGTGAGTATTTAATCGGTCACCACCATTCGATCTTTATTCTATAAAAACCTTCTTATCTTAGCTCCTAGTAACTCGTCAAACACCGACTGAGAAAGTGAAGTATATTTTGGGTATTAACGAAAAATAAACGTTAGGTAGGAAAGTGTTATTTTGAAACTTGGGTGGGAAAGTGTCATTAAGGCAAATCTTGGGTGGGAAAAAGTTATTTACTCGTATACTTAATGGTAATTCGTATGCTACCGACTAGGGGCGTTCGGTCCCGGGTACCCTACATATTTTGAAGGAACTGGAACCGGAACCAAAACCGACGGTTCCTTGAAATTTGGAACCAGAACCGGAACCGACGGTTCCGGTTCCCAAGTACCCAGAACTAGAACCTGTAACAATGGTTCTGGTTCAGATTCTGGATACCCTGTAAAATTATATGACCACCCAAAAGTTTTAAAAATGGCAAAAAACCCTTAAAAACTTACAAATACCCCCCAACCTGGCACTTGTTAACAAAAATAAAATTACAAATTATAAATTCAAAATTATAAACTCCATTACTTTATAAAGATAGATTCTCAAAAGTCAAACCAACTTACTTTAAATGTTATGAAATATAAATATAAATGTATTTACATTACTTTTTTTTATAAAAGTTTTTATTAACCCCCTAATCTTTAATTTTATTTTATATTAGCTACGGTTTCTGGTTCCGGTTCCGGTTCCTAACTATAAGAACCGGAACCGCACAGTANGTTATACATATATGAATGCGATATACTTGAAAATTTTGTATGTAAATGGCTGAGAATTTATACTTACGAATCCTTGTCAGTTGTTACTAGCTGGAAACCAGTGAGCCGCGATCTGTCTAGCTCATTATATATAACCCATATGAGAAAAAGTGGAGGAGTATATCTAGCTCATTATATATATATATATATATATATATATACCCATGTTTATTAATATTTTCTTTTCTTATCATGCCAGATTTTTTTATTGCCTGGGAATTGGGATCCATAAGAAATAATCTGCATACCCCTTTCTTAAATAAAATTCTATTTTTCATTAGCTTTTAACAACAACTATTTGTTCCTAATTCGAGGGAGAATTTCAAAAGCCCTCCTCGAGTTTTGGCTTTATTTTTCAGTTTTTTTTTTTTTTTTTTAACTACAAAGCAAACCTCGTATAACTTTAATTTTATGAAGGTTTCACTTCTTCAAACTTCGGTGCGTTGCTTACTGTCATCTATATTTATCTTGTATACGAAGAGTCTACGACTTTTTTCCACCGAAGGTTTGCCTTAATAACATTTTTCACCCAAAAAGTTTTAAAATACCACTTTTTCACCCAAATTTAATATTCCTTTACTATCCAAAACCGATTCTAACAGCAAAAAAATCTCTCTGTCACGAGCATTTGAACCTCCGATCTTCTCTCTACAAAGTCTCTCTCACTCTCGTACCTGATTTCTTATCGATTGTCGACCATCGTAAAGTTAAGGTTTTTTGTTCTTAATTGATTTTTAGCTAATTCTAGCTGTGAATATTCAATTGGTCACCACCATTCAATCCACCGATCTCCATTCTATAAAAACTCTCTTATCTTGACTCTTGGCAGCTCATCAAACATCGATTGAGAAAGTAAAGTATATTTTAGATATTAACAAAATATAAACGTTAGATAGGAAAGTGATATTTTAAAACTTGGGTGGGAAAGTGTCATTAAGGCATTGTTTACTCGTATACTTAATGTAATTCGTATGCTACCGACAGTGGCAGATGATATTGTGCCCATTGCCCAATCCAATATCATATTGCCGATTGCCGAGTCCAACTAATTAGGCCAGGTTCTAAATACTAAAAGACCCAACAGACACGCTTTTACAAAAATAAATAATAACCATCATACTAGTCATTGTAATTAAAGCTGCCAGCTGTCATCTCATTCAATTTTTCTTGACGATAGGTGGAAAATAGATATATATATATATATATAGACAGGTTGGTTGATCGAGGAGTCACAAAGAGAGTGAAGTTAATGGGGGAACTACAGGATACTGTTTGTCCAGAGTTGGGAGACTACTGTTAGATTTATCACAGCCAATGACATCACAGCAAGCCATCCCAGACGAATGCTCCAGCTCAGCTATAATATCTTAGCACAATAAGAATGATTCTAAAATACATGAGTTGTAATTCTGTTTCATACAGTCTGTACAAACTAGTTGAATTCTGATTCTTTATTGATTCTTGTAATTACTGTAACAGATAACTTAACTGTTGTAAAGATAGTAATCGAATAGTGCAAGCAATATTTTAACAATCAATTGTTTCTCTGCATTTTTGTTTTCTCTCTCTTTTCCCTGCAAATACCAAAATTACCAAAACCGTTAACTACTACAGGGAAAAGCGCACTTAGGAGCGGCAAATATACCACAGGAAGGGTTTGGCATGCGCCTAGCGCGAAAGCGCTAGCACCCAGGGCGAGAGTGGGCAAAACCTTAATTATTTGGATAGATTATTTAGAGGTTTTGTATTGATTCTTGTAAAGTAGATACTTATCATATTTATAACTTGGTTAATCTATTAGACTTATAAGGTTGTAAGGTGTTTAATGAATCTCGAAAATTAAAATTGAGGTGCGGCACAAAACACTCCAATTATATATATATATATATATATATATATACTGCCATGAAAGCTTTAATTTGAAAGAAATTTTACATAATGTGAAGAGAAGACAAGCTCTTCGTCGGGAAAACTTCCATTTGGTTTATTATTTGATACTTTTTAGAATAATATTTTGAAAAAAGTTAAATTTGGTGGGTATTATGATATAGGATTTGGAAATTAACAAAAATACCCTCTATGTTTGTTTATTTACTAAACACTCGTATAATAAAATATTAAAAGTTAATAAAAACACCCTAACCTACCCATTAAATACAGACAGCCGACCACCACCGTCGGAGGTTGGCCGGAGTCGCCGTATTGGCATATGACTAGTTGGATCTTACCAATCGTGCGCCGATATGACATTTTCTGACCAGATCCACCGTAGATTTGGCTAGAAAATGCCAGATCTACGGCTAGATCTAGTCATTGACGGCCAGATCTTCATAGATCTGACATTTTCTAGCCGCATTTGGTTGTCAACGACCAAAGATACAACCGAAGCCTTGTCTTTTCATAAATCCATGTAAAAATTAATGAATGCCCTTGTTGTTCATAGCATGTGAAAGCGAAATTGACAAGTGATGTGTACGGTATAACGTCGATGACAATTTAGAGCTTTGAATTTGATGCCGATTTATTTTATTTATGCAAATAAGCAAAACGACATAAACAGCTTTATTCGTTAGTACTTATCACAACACTAGAATACAATACAAGATACAGTGGAGGCGCCATTTGTTCAGCAACACAAGTGGGTGACCAGCACAGCAATACATTTGATCCAACACACAAAACAATCGGCGGTTGAGTTGTCAAATTTTTTAGTGTAAAAAACATGGTTGAGCTAATCCATTGGCTATCCTATGCACCACTCACTCTCACTCAAATTCAATGCCTAGTTCCTTATTGAAACTTCGATAATAAGTTTACACAAAAGATGGAGTGCCTCTTATTTGAAATATATATGTCAACAAATATTTCACTATTAAATCATACAGGTATAGTTTGTCCGGTGAGTGATCCATCCTACCAATCAACTTTACAACAGTGACAAAACCAATACATAAGTCAGTTATACTTGCAAGTCGGTAGCTTTTCAAGAATTAGAAAAAGAAATCAAAGTGGAAGTACAACTATATAAATTAATTTAACTTAAATGAAGTTCTCAGACCAGTATAATTTCGCTTTGCTTGCTTGCGCTTCTTCTTCGCCTCATCACTCAATCATCCTTTCCCTCAAATCTTTGCTTTGTTTTCATTGCAAAAATTCCACCCTCCAAGTTATGTATTTCTGTAGGTCTAAGGAGCTGTAGCTTTCTGCAATCTGAGAAAACTTCTTCATATCCAAAAACACAAATGAGCCAGAAAAAAAAAAAAGGGCGAAAACTAAAACATTCCAAATCTCAGGTTTGTTAAGTAATATGCAGTTTTCTGCCATTCAACGTCTTCTCCAAACAAGCCCTACATTACTTTTACTGGGTATATCTCCCCTCGCCTAACTGCACCATAAGACGCAAGTAATATCTGGCTCATGGTGCCTGCATGCCCCTACTTTCTTTCCTCTTATTTTTCCATGTGTCTCCCATTTATCACTACTGTGGACCAAAATCCAAGTTCTCCCACTTAAATGGAGCAACTAGACCAATGTCTGGAGAGCCTCGCAAGAAAAGGCAGACACAAACACAGACAGCAGCAATGGCAAGCATTGAATGAATGTAAGGACCGTGAAGCAAGCCCTGTCTACCTGGAACCCTTCTGTTGACTTTTGTTGCAACAATTGCACACTTGGCACAAGATTTTTGCCCTTTTCTTAATTGGGAACTTATCCTATGCACCTGGTCCACTGTCAAACCAGATTGCTCTATCTCCATACCAATCGACACAGAAACCTGGCCATTTCTTCTGTCGGAAAGTTTACGCTCCACAAGCTTGTTGTAAGAGTGGTTATTCCTCATAATGGCATAAGAATATGGAGACTGCCCATTCGCATCAAGAAGAGTATTCCAGCAGGACAACCCAATCTACATAAAAACAAAACAGTATTAAGGAAAAAGATTAATCACAAACAAGATATGACTACAAAAACTAAAATGGTCCAAAGACACAAAGTTACACTAGTAACCCATCCACATAACCCAATCCCCAAGAGAAAATGAATAAATCTCAGTAGCATATATAAAGTAAAGCAAGCACTCTCTACTCTACATTTGCCAAACATCCATCATCATGAACTAAGACAACTACTCTGTATGATCTAACGTGAATAATTGTATGGAAGAAAAATAAGATTTTCAGGAGCTGAGGCTTACTAAGGTGCAAAGCAAGACTCAAAAGAACTCAATAGTCGGAGCAAGAAAGTAGTGTACAAATACCTCCTGTGGATCATTTGTCAAAGCATCTATCGTATCATCTGAATCCGATGTACATGCAGCCAAATGCAGAGGTGTAATAGCACCTGGTCCTGCAAGGTTTGGTGGGAAAATATACTTCCTGGTATCGTTATTGCCATTTATAGAGTAACGAATCAGTAAGTCAGCCATGCGTCTGCACCTCCTTTTCACTGCCCGGTTCAAGAGCTGAATCTCAGTTAGCATATCCAAAGATTCCTTAGATAGATCATCCATATCCAAGTTTCTCTCCATCATGTCCAGGACTGCTTTTACTAAAGCACAGCAGTCACGTTCGACCGAGAATATGAGTAAAAATTTAAAGCGAGAGAAGGAATAATCAGGGCCCTCATGCACAGAAGTCCTTTTCCTTTGGAACAGCCATCCAAGTTCATTCAAGAAGTGCAAAGTTTCTTCCCTTGATCTGGGCCTGCCATAATCATGAGCTTGATCTTCAGAAATGATATCACATACTTTAGCCTCTGTCTCAAATTCGGATTCAAGAAGTCTCAATTCTTTACAAATTGTAGCATCTGCTATTATAACAGGAAAACTATTGCCCTTGAAACCATTTTCCACCTGTTCAAAACAAGCAGGAATCAAGTAGAGCACACCTTTTCTCAAGTACCCTATTATAGAATTTCAAAAGCTTCACACCTGCAAACAGACCATCGCATCTAAAAGTCTTACCTCAACAAAAAATCGTCCAATAACACTAGGAGATGCATCCTGAAATTTAAGGCCACCCAAGTTTATCTCATCATACATGATTCCCTGATATGTTGACCCTGTTACTTCCTGTGATGTGTATCCACCCATATACGTGCAATGGATCCTGTCAAGAATAAGATACATTTCTGAAGATGGAGACCAAAAAAGAGATGAATTCCTCACACAAAATGTACATTCTGCTTACTTGGTTCCAGGGCTAGTCAGATTTCTGCCCCTCAAAATAAGAGAGTTTTCTTGCCCACCCACAACTGCCAAAGGAGACACTGAGATCAACTCAGGAGAACTCCATGTTTTCCAGGACTTGCATAAACGGATCTTCCCTGAAGATGAATTAAATGCAAACAAATATGAAACAGTTACAATAATAATGCAATAATCAACATTTATAATAGACATTGCTTCATTCAATTATGACCATACCCAAAGTAGAAAATGCTAGCAATCCAAAAAATTAGAGCAATAAAAAAGCAACATTTACAGTAGTACTTACCCTCCTTATGTGACGCTAATTGCCTGCCTGTATGAACCAAAAACCTTGAATTTCTCCAAAAATCTGAATCTTGTACCAAAGCATTGACATGCTGAAGCAGGTTTCCTTCGAACTGTAAAAACCATACACACCATGCAATTTGTCAGCAAAATGTTTTAATCTCAGACAGCCGATGTGCATAAAGCACTATACTCACTTGCTCCCAAGCAGCTGATGACATTGACACATAAATTGATAATACCACGCAACCAGGTCGTATGTAGCTTTCCATTTCTGATGGACTATTAGAAAGCCAACTGTAGATCTGAGAAATGTGGAGTAAATCATCATTTGGCTAACCAAGATGCAAAAAGTATTAAGTGGTAGAGCCAATCAGAAATAATGAGCAAACCACGAACTCCTTACCTGTGTCCGCAACGCCCCAGGAAAATGACTAGGATCCTTGTCAAATAATTTAAAAATTATTCGGCCAGTGCGATCCTGTACAGGAATTATACAAGCTTTAGAATGCTATAAATCTTACCTTAAATAGATAAACAAAAATGGAGAATTTTAAATCCCAAACAATCTGGTTGAAGGACAAACTACCTGGGCATCAGAATTCAAGCTAGAAGGTGAATGATCAGACCCAGAAGAAGAAGTATACCCAGTTTGGTATGGGAAACTTTGAAACGAACTATGATCAGTTCCTCTATTTGAACCTCTAAAGAGCTCGAGAGGCATAACAGAACCACAAGTCCGGCTAACTTCAACATTTGCATTGGCCTCCCTGCTAACAGATTTCTTCTCAGACTTCACAGTTTCTGTTGTGCTCTGCAAGGGGAACAACTTTTGCACAACAGGAGATGAAGACAGAGATCTCTCCTCGGTGGGGTTACTGCTGTCAGAAGAGAAATACTTCATTGAAGATGACAGTTTCGGTGGGCTGTCATCCTCAGGCGAAGAACTAAACAGTTGCAACGGTAAATTAGCATGAGTTTCTTGAATTTGGCAATCTAAATCTTCGATAGGGGACTGGTAACTAGTGCTACTTCTTTCTCCTCGAACAGATGGAAATTCTAAGGTAGTTCTCTTATGAAAGTTGGGAGTTGCTTGGTCAAGACAGGTCGACTTTGTTTTCTCACTATCACTGCCATGGCTACGTCTTTGGGAGAGAATTGTGAGAGCATCTGGAGCAGAAGTAGCTAGGGTGGCTGACAGGACAGCTAGCAAGTCCATGGTTGATGGAGAAGAAGAGTTCCCGTTCAATCTGTTCTGGAAGTCTGAAGAAGGTTGCTCCGGATTTTTCCTATTCAAATTTCCAATACTTGGCAACTTTGCAGCTAGGTCTGGTGGCAAAGGTAGCGAATTTATTTTACTAAGAATCATAATTAGTTGGTCTCTATCTGGTACTGATGAGCAGTTGATGCTTTTGTCTTCAGTTTTTCCTATAATTTTAAATACAAAAATTTCAGCATATCATCTGTAGGATGAACAAACATTTACTAGGCCAGTGCTCTTACCTTGTGCACGAGCTATCGTGGCCAGCAGGTTGACTATATCCAAATTCCCACCGGTGGTGTTAACATTACACTGGTTGGGAGGGATTAACAGTCGGGAGGTAACATCATCTGGCTGGGTTTTTCTTCTTCGCCTGTTATGCCCAGCAAGTCTGCGCCTACAACTTCTCTTTCCCTCATCAAACTCTGAAAGAGGGTGAAACCTGCAAAGGTTGTTGATGTGAATTGAAAGTTGAACTTCAAACAGAGCAGCTGATACCAAAAGCCCTCGTATTTTACCAAGAATAACACATGAATTCCATAAATCTAAACTGGTGACAATGAAATAATTGAATTTAGAGAAAACAAAACCTAAAGAAAGAGAGAAAAGTTTGAAACCTGCTGCACTGCTGGCAGAACCTCTGCATCTGCTTCCCAACAAGAGCTTTAGTAGATTTACTATGAAGCTCACAAACTTTATGTCGGCGGTGATAGTCTTTTGCATTTGAGAGATCTTCTTTACAGTTATCTACCTGACACATAGGGTAAGAGGCGCTTCCCGGAGATCTAGACCGGACCCTTTTGTTGGGTCTGGAAACATGCTCCTCCACACTATTCAAACACCCAGCAAGGTTCAAATCAAGCCGTCCATCGTCTTCGTTCACAACACTAACACTAGTCTTCTTCTCCGTCGTCACCTTGTTCACCTCTGATGCTGACGCTGAAGCAACTGAAGCTCCCAAACGAAGAGCCTCAGAGTCGTCTAGTGGGTTGGCAACAAATCTGACGCTATCCCAATCCCATAGCTTAGGGTTCCAGTTATCTATTCTCTGTTGCTGTGATTGGTATTGGTGATGAAAATTAGGAGCTGGATACGGAAGATGGCGCTTTTTCGCCATAGAAGTCGCCTCACAGAATCTACTGGAAAGTGCTTGATGATGCATAAATATAGAAGGAGCCATTTGAGCACCTACTTCTTCCATTTCTTTTTAAAATCTTCAATCCCAACTACTTACCTATGTCCTTAAATAACCAAAACAAACAAAAAAATCCAATTTATATTTCTAATTATTGCAAAGATAAAGCCTCAGGTATTCGGATGAGATCACGCAAGGATTAAGCACCAAAAATTAAAAAAATAAAAATAGTTGCAGATTTAGAAAGATTACGTACCTTTACAGAATTGATCACGGCAGCCACATCTCCTTTGAAACAGATAACAAATCAAATCAAAATGAAAACTACAAGTCTATTTCTTCATGATTAGCTCAAAGAAAACGTCGTCTACTTGTAGCTCAGATCTAACTTGAACCCCATACAATTAATCTGGAAAAACAGAAATCTGAAAATCTGAAACCGTTAAAACTAGAGTCAACCACCGATCCAGAACAAGAAACTAAGAAAAGTGTATTCCCCTTGGCTCGCTAAACTTTGGTCTGGTTTTTAGTTTTTACTTTTCTCTCTCATCTACTACACTTTCTTTTTCATATTATTTTTTTTAATTTTTCAATTTATTTTCTTTCTTATACTTTGTCTTCTAACAAACATTTCTTTCGGTGTTTGGTATAAACTGTAAATTCAACCAACCTTGAGGTTTTACTTCTGGCCGCCCAATGACCTACGAAGAATCCATGANCAGAAATCTGAAAATCTGAAACCGTTAAAACTAGAGTCAACCACCGATCCAGAACAAGAAACTAAGAAAAGTGTATTCCCCTTGGCTCGCTAAACTTTGGTCTGGTTTTTAGTTTTTACTTTTCTCTCTCATCTACTACACTTTCTTTTTCATATTATTTTTTTTAATTTTTCAATTTATTTTCTTTCTTGTACTTTGTCTTCTAACAAACATTTCTTTCGGTGTTGGTATAAACTGTAAATTCAACCAACCTTGAGGTTTTACTTCTGGCCGCCCAATGACCTACGAAGAATCCAGGACTCTTCCATTTTACTTTACTAAAAAACTTTATTAAAAAAATATATAAAAATAAAAATAAAAATTTCTGTGTTAAGTAAAAGAGAAATCAAAATCGTTTAAAGCAAAGGACAAGTGACTTTGACTTTCTACTTGCATTCATCCTCACTTCTTACTTGGGATAAATTCACTCCTCCAATATTACCTCAATTCGATACCATTTTTATTTCTCTTTCTTTATCAAACATATCCACTCAAAGCTACATCACATTGATCCTTTATTTATTTCTTCTCTTGTATTAAATTATCAAAGCAGCATATGTGACTTCACATTTATGCTTCATGGACTTTCAGGATGTATTGACCTTGTCAATAGTCTTAACTATTTGCAATTATATTTATTATTGTTGGGTTAATAGTCAATAAAATTTAATTATACCAAAAGTCTTGCTTTTGTGAGCAAAGTAGAGCGATTGGACAAAGGGTCTTTAGTGTATTAATTGATAAGTTGAAATTACCTTATTTACTAATAAGGATAATCATTGAAATGTTTACTTAATTGAATTAGTCAAATTACATATAAATTGATCCGAAAGTAGTTAGAAATAGTACACTTCCAAACAAAAGAGAAATCTCAATCACATGATAGTACACTTCGAACAAAAGAGAAATCTGAATCACATGGTTTGGTATTAGATTAAAAATACAGCTAACAAATTTAACTGGTTCAACATGTACAGATAATTAGAGACAGCCATGTGAAAGAACATAGAATAAGGCATTTGCAATATGCCAATTTGCATGTGGTTTGTACCCAAAGTACATAGTTTTAGGTAAAAAATTAGGCTAGCTACCTGAACCGGAGCTGGACCAGAACCAATGCTTCCCCACCCCAAAAAAAAAAAAAAACTCATGTTTCGTTGATAAAATGAAAAATTAAAAGGAGGGGAGAGGAGGTTAAGAATGTCATATTTTCCGACTGGAAAGCGCGTATGCAGTGGAAAAGATTTCGTCGGCGTCACGTAAATGGCAAAGGTCCAAACGCCGCTCAATTCATGGTTTCACACGGGGCTACTTAAAAGGACGAAATTAGCCTTGTGTGTTAGATGAAATTGCAGAAATGGTAAAGATTAGATGTTTGAAATGAGTGATGCATCATGCATGCCCTTGTATGTCCCATTTAGGAGTACAATCAATGTGAAGGAATAAGAGTGTCTCAATTTCCATAGGGCATCGGGGTAAATATATTAAGTAAAAAAAAAAAATTATGTGTGGTAGTGACTGACTGACTGACTGACTGACTGACTGGTGATGGGTATTATCGTCCGGATGCGAATGAGTGCGGATGTGGGAACCAGCTGTGGTGTCTGAGTTAAAATAGTACGATGCATTTGGTCGGATGCCTGTTTTGTCTTGTTAATGTGCAAAGTCCACTAACCGTAATACGTAGAAATGGGGTTTGGATTGGGTGGCTGAATAGTTTGGAACGAAATGGTGTTAGGAGAAAAGGAGACTTTGGGGTGGGTGAAAAAGGAGAAAGGGATTTGATTGACAGAAGGGCAACAGCTGTAAGTGTAAGTGTGGTTGAGTGAACAATGAGTGCATTAAAATTCGAACACCTTGTAAATTTTTATACCGTACAAAGCTCCACGTACTCCAATGAAATGACAAGTCCCATCATCGCATTTCAACCCGTACGCCTCGCCCATCCAATTTTATCTACAGTATCGTCTCCTTCCTTTTCTTCTCTTTTTCCCTTTCCCAATGCTCAAAAGCATTTTTTTAATAAAATATCTCCACCCCAATCTCATCCAACCCGGACCCGACCGGACCGACCGAAAGAGACCCTTATCCCATCCGGATATATCATAAACTCGGTTATAACAGTAAGATAAGATTGACCGGACTTGCAAAACAGTACGGAATTGTAAACTTTTGGATTTAGATTTTAGATTTATTTATTTATCATTTCAACTTCAGGTTTGGATTTCCCATTTATTTTATTTTTGTTATATTGTTATTTGAATTTTGGATTTAAATGGTATTCTTATAACAAACAAAATACACGTTAATATCTTTGAAAATCACTTATCAAAACAATCTCTTTATTAATGAATAAAGGTTGTAACAATGGCGATTTTTTTGTTTACATTGACCGAGTTTTGAACACATTTAATGATTTGTATTGATTTGCGATACAATCGATCGAATAAATTGGGTTGGAGTTTGTTACTTTTTTTTTTTTTTTTTTTACTTTCTGTAATCCATGTATCCTGAAACTTGATTTGCAAGCTTAAGTTCAAAATTTCAACTGCAGCCAACATCTTTAGAAAACAAGAAATAAACATCGATGTAAATGTTTATAAATAGACTCGAATAATTAAAACTTTTATCCCATTCGGATATATCATAAACTTGATTATAACACTAAGATAAGATTGATCGGACTTGCAAAACAATATCGAATTGTAAGGCTTCGATTGTTACGTTATTGGGTTCCAATAAAGTTAAACAGTAAAATGTCATTATTCTTAAAATGTTATTCTGTATTTTTTAATTTCTTTTAAACCCTTTAAATTTATTAATTTAACTAAACACCCTCAAATATTTTTTTTAAAAATTGCAAAAACACCGCGACCACCCTCCGGCGGTGGTGGCCAGCTTTCCGTATTTAATGGATGGGTTGGGGGTGTTTTTGTTAACCTTTAATATTTTATTATAGGGGTGTTTAGTAAATAAACAAACATAAGAGGTATTTTTGTTAATTTCTAAATCCTACATCGTAATACCTGCCCAATTTAACTTTTTTCAAAATATTATTCTAAAAACTATCAGAATAATGAACCAAACGGAGCCTAAACTTTTGGATTTAGATTTTAGATTTAGGGTGTGTTTGCTTTATTATTTTGGATAGGATTTTAAGAATAATATTGGATAATTAAATAGGGGAGTATTACGAGGTAAAATTTAAAAATTTATAAAAAAAACCCCTAGGTTTGCTAATTTAATTAAACACCTAAATATATAAAATGACCAAAACACCCCCACCACCCGCAGTGCTATATTCCGACCATCACCATCGAAATCTGGCCAAAAAATTACGTTACGACACAAACCGGTCGGATTTCTGTCGTAACGTGTCGCTATGGCCTTTTCCAGCCAGATCCACCACGGATCGGGCCAGAAAAGGCCAGATCTATGGCCAGATGTGATTGTCGACGGTCGAAAAAGGTTAGAGAAGTCCATTTTTGGCCGTCAGCGACGGCCAAAGATATGGCCGTCGTTTTCGGTCAACAACGACCATTTCTTTGGCCGTCGCTAACGACCAGATCTGGCCGGAAAAGACCAGATCGGTGAACTACCGGCCAGTTTTGGTCGTGGTGTAGGCCGTTGTACATATTCCTGCTACCACCGATGGTGGTTGCCGAAATCTGGTAAATATGGGTTGATANTGTTTTGTCTTGTTAATGTGCAAAGTCCACTAACCGTAAAACGTAGAAATGGGGTTTGGATTGGGTGGCTGAACAGTTTGGAGTGAAATGGTGTCAGGAGAAAAGGAGACTTGGGGTGGGTGGGAAAGGGGAAAGGGGTTTGATTGACAGAAGGGCAACAGCTGTATGCGTAAGTGTGGCTGAGTGAACAATGAGTGCATTAAAATTCGAACACCTTGTAAATTTTTATACCGTACGAAGCTCCACGTACTCCAATGAAATGACAAGTCCCATCATCGCATTTCAACCCGTACGCCTCGCCCATCCAATTTTATCTTCAGTATCGTCTCCTTCCTTTTCTTCTCTTTTTCCCTTTCCCAATGCTCAAAAGCATTTTTTTAACAAAATATCTCCACCCCAATCTCATCCAACCAGGACCAGACCGGACCGACCGGAAGCAAGACCCTTATCCCATCCGGATATATCCTAAACTTGATTATAACAGTAAGATAAGATTGACCGAACTTGCAAAACAGTACCGAATTGTAAACTTTTGGATTTAGATTTTAGATTTATTTATTTATCATTTCATCTTTAGATTTGGATTTCTTATTTATTTTATTTTTGTTATATTATTATTTAAATTTTGGATTTAAATAGTATTCTTATAACAAACAAAATACACGTTAATATCTTTGAAAGTCACTCATCAAAACAATCTCTTTAGCATCTCTTAGACTCTCACATATGACCTGTTTGTTTACCACAGGAGGCTTACAAGCGGGTTCCCAACTGGCCCGCACCCACACCTGATCCGGCTCCGCCTCTGGCTCCCGCTCGTGCTTCCATCTGGTCAAACTTACCCGCGGCTGTATCAATAGCTGTATCAGTGGCGGGTTTTGTTGTTAACTACCTCAGTTGAAGCAGTATGTAAATATGTGATGTTAATGGGTTGGTTTTTATAGAGTACAATCCATCAAATAAATTGGGTTGGAGTTTGTTACTTTTTTTTTTTTTTTTTTTTTCAACTTTCTGTAATCCATGTATCCTGAAATTTGATTTGCAAGCTTAAGTTCAAAATTTCAACTGCAGCCACCATCTTTTGAAAACAAGAAATAAACATCATAGAAGTGTTAATAAATAGACTTGAATAACTAAAGCTCTTAAATGTCTAAGTAATTAATTACTTGTATTGTGGCCCATATAGACGACGAAGAGGACCATGGCTGGTGCTACCTGGCCCTAGAGAGTAAGGTAAAATGAGGCCTGGGCATCCAGGAGGGTTGACCTGACCATATATAATAATATATAATCTCTTTAACTTTAATGATTGTCCTGCCACATTTACACAAGATGCTCTCATTCGTGAACCACACCTGTCAGAAATGTGGGCCTACAAACACTATGTACGGGCAACGACACGTGGATGAAATCCATTTCTTGCTCAAGATCACCCTATTAAATAATTAAACATTTATGTAATGCTTTCATCTTTTTGTATTTTTCATGTGCATGAATTGAATTATAAAGGAAGAATAAGAAGAAGAGCATTTACTTGTCTCAAACGTCTCTTTCTTAATATAGGGTATTCAAGCACATAAATAGAAAAAAATTAGGGAGACAGGCTCTTTGATAAAGACTAATGAATCGAGCGAGAGGAGAGAAAAATAAATCATCATGATTATTATATTTAATAATAAATATAAATGTAATACTAAATGGAAGCAATACCCAAGAAATTTTGTTCATATAATGGTAGCACAGAAACCCAATCTATGTGCTTGTGTTAAAGAAAATGGCACTTATAATAATGGAATGGGGACTAAGAGAAAGCAAACCTGAGAAGAGCACAAAAGAATTGCTTGCCTACATATCTATGTAAACATCACACCATTTGCCTAGTTAATATGCATATTAATTTAGAAACCAAACCCTTTCACCCCAAATTTAGATGGGAAGCTGCTGTTCCCCAACAAAAACAAGGCAACAACAAGAAGAGCTGAAATCACTACCCACATCCATGTCTGCATCCTTCTCTTACCCCTGTTTCGAAGAGGCAGCGGGACAGATTTTGCCTTGCTCTGTTTTGTGAATTGTGATGCTTTTTGGGGCCTCTTTGTCACTGTCAGTGACTTCTCTTTAATTTCAAAAGATTGTGGAGTTTCCACGAGAGTTTCCGCGTTTGCAGCAGATTCTCCTTCGTTCATTAGATCAGAATCGTCTGTTGCAGCCGTTTTTCTTTTTCCCTTCTTCCTTGCTCTCTTTTCTTTTTCCTGCAAGGAATATGATAATGATTAACCAATACAGATAAGTACAGACTAGAAATTTATGGTACATTTTAATGCAAGATAGAAGTGCATGGTTGTGGGAACCTCAGTGAAATGTTTACCTTCTCTTTCTGTTCAGCTTCCTTTTGAGCTCGAAGCACAGCCCTGGCTTGGGCCTTCTCAGCAATTCGTTTCTTCCTCTCCAAAGCCTCCTTCGCCTTTACCTTCTCCTCTAACCGACGTTGCTCTTTCAACCTGGCTCCTTCCTCTTCCTTTCTCAATTCCTCTGCCTTCCTGGCCAATTCCTCTTCCTCCTTTGTGCGCTTAGGCTCTTCATCTCTTTCCTCTTCAATCTCATCCCTACCAGAAACAGTTGCCAGGCCATTAGCTGAATGAGTTGGTTTTGCAGGCCTTTTAGATTTAGCCGTCTGACTCTTTTGTTCCCCAACTATAGGAATAGGCTTGTCATCCTTATTTTCAGATTTCACTGGCACAATTTGTTCTGTCTTTACTTCTTGAGGAGTTGAAATCTGGGACACAGAATTATCCTTGGTCACTCTGTTATTTACGAAGGAGCGAACTACAGGTGGCTCCTCATCAGGACCGAGTGAACGACCATCCAATGTCTTCAGTCTTCTAAGTGTGCTTCTAATGTTGCTATTCACATATTCTTTACGGAACTCGCTGTTGCTGTTCCACAGTTCCAACACTCTCTCCACCTAAGGAAAAAAATGCTCTGTAAGTCACAGAGTTGGGGCTGATTAACCAGATCAAAGCAAAGGACTGCAAAAGCTCACCTGGTTAACACACAGATGTTGGAGTCCCTCTTTATCTCCTTTTGAAAGTAAATCATTAACTTGCTTTATATCATCCTTGTACTTCCAGAAGTATTTGTTCTGCAAATTTATATAAAAAAAATAAAAACAAAAAGAGTAAAGTCAATCAACTCCATCTCATTGTTTAATATGGTTTTATTTGTTTCATTCAGCAATGAATTTTATAATTTCTACAAGCAACAAGCTTAGAAACATAACCGTAAAACATGGTTGAAGGATCCAACTCATAAACAAGAAATAAAACTAATTTGATACATTTTTTGCTTTCTTTTTCAAGACAAAAGCAAGAGCCTAGAACTAATTAATAACTCAAAATAAAAGGAACTTCTTGAACTAAAGAAGAAACTTAAACCACAAATCAGCACTTGTTATTAACCTTAGACTCATGCCTTTCTGGTGCTAAATTCAGTTTGACTTTTTGCAGAAATATATCAAATGCAACAAGCATAAGAATGTGCCTCAAGGTCAGTATCCTCAAACATATAGAAATATAAAAAGCCATAAGTAAATAGAAATAAATTTAACACAGTAGCAAAGTCATAAAGCAACAAAATTATCTAATGTGCATAGAATGCTTTGCATCTTAGAAGACTTATAACTTCTTTTTTTATGCTCAACATAGTCGTTATATGTGGGATTCAGTAAAAGCAATAAATTTTCACCAATCTGCACACCTAAAAATGTATTTATAGCCTTGTTCAAATTATAAGTAAGGTTTTTCCATAGTAACTGTTTGCACGTAAGCATGAGCTTTTTGTTGAGTTTAAGAAAGATCGTTTTTGTAAAAATGCATCCAGTCTTTTCCAGAGATCACAATCACATCAATATGATATTTACTACAGAAACTATAACAATGTTCCAACACGGCAGATTGCAATGCCTACAGCTAAAGCTCCCTCTTAGGTTAGACCAAGAGGCCATACAAAGCCAAATGGAAAACCAATTTGGATGCTGCAACAATTAATCATCAAAAACAGTAACCCAGAAAAAAATGGAAAATGTACCTTATCATATGCTTGTTTCCTCAAACTCTGAAAATGCTTATATGCTTCTTGGCGAATTTCGTCTGCAACATTAAATTCAGCATAAAATTTCTTCAGCCTTTCACTTTCATTTTTCTGTTTCTTTTTGGCAGCTTGAGTGGCAGCTTCAGCTTTGAGAACATTCTCTCTGAGTGAATCCGCCTCCTTCCTCAACAACTGTTGATGCTTGAGAATCAGAACACACAATCAAGCAACTCATCTATAGTCCTATGAAAAGAGAAAAAGTGGTTCCTACTATAGTTACCAAATGCTCTATCCTCTGTTATTGCAATTCTCACTCTCAACACTCTCTCCTTGGTTATTATTTCTACCTATCCGAACACTATACCCTTGGTTATAGATATATATGAGCTAAAGTTCCTAAAGATATGCTGGATATCTCATGTTTCCAGTCTAAGCTTTATATTGCCAAAATAGCAAACCATAATAAAAACATGTGCTTGACATGCATTAGTGTTAGGAAAACATGTATAAACAATGAGAACACATTTTAAACATAAAAACAAACCTTCAAGCGTTCTTCGATTTGGTCTTTCTGGTCAAAAGCCTGCTGAACATCATCCTGCTTACCCATACTAGAAGAAAACTGTTCACGAAGTTGCTTCAATTGCTTAATATCACGAATAAACTGCTTTTCTTCCTTCAGTGGAAGAGTTTCATGTGCAATCTTGTGCTCCATATTACGTATCTGCTTACGTGCCACATGGTAAAACAGATACTCAACAATCAGAAAGGATACATTCAGATTAACCAAACCAGCCCTAGCAAAGTAATCTTACAAAAAGAAGTCAGAGAATGAAAACAAGCAAAAAGAGAAAGAACGAAAAGAGTGCGTACCCTGCCATCAATATCCTCTACAGAAATTGCATTCTTCACCTTGTTAATGATGGCTTGAAGAGAATCTATTTCCTGGCGTTTGGATTTGAGCAATTCTCGTGCAGCTTTCTCTTCTAGAACAGCAGCTTCTATGTTATCACCATATTTCTTGTAAGTATCCTGATCATAGAAAAGCTTCAACAACCACGGGACCCAAAAAATGAAAAATTTATTATTTTCAGAAAAACAAAAGTGCAGAAAGATTATATACCCTTATCCTTTGGATTTCAGCACGAATAACATCCCGACTTTGAGTTTTCTCATCAACTTTTAACTGAGCAGATTTGATTTGTTCCCTTAAATTTTCATCATCATATCTTGGAACCTTCACCAAGAAGTAAAATGGTCTTTTCACCACCTCAACACCGGCATACTGCATTTCAGAAGCATCAGCAGTTGAACCTTCTGGGGTAGATGTTAGTGTCTCATCCCTATGGGTCCCATCAATGCTCTCCACTTCTTGAGAAGCTCCATGGTCTCCAAAGCAAATTTCTACATTTTCGTTTTCCTCCCCTACTTGACAAATTTTATCATCCCTGTCTTCACCAGTTAACCCCTCCACTTCTTCCACCTTTTCTTTACCAGTTAACTCCTCCGCTTCTTGAATTTTTACCTTTTCTTGACATGTTTTATCATCACTCCCTTCATTGTCGAACTGAATTTCTCCCGTTTTATCATCAATCTTTTCACTACCCCTTCCCTCTTCTTCTTGACATGTTTTTACATCAATCTCTTCAGTCCCCTTCTCCTCTACCTGACATGTCCCCTTTTCCTCTACTTGACATGTTTTTTCATCAATCTCTTCACTCCGATTTTCCTCTGCTTCTTGACATGTTTTATTATCAACCTCTTCACTCCCATTTTCCTCTGCTTCTTGACATGTTTTATCATCAAACTCTTCATTCCCCTTTTCCTCTACTTTTTGAAATATTTTAACATCAATATCTTCACTCCCCTTTTCCTCGGCTTCTTCTTCACCAGTCCCCTTTTCTTCGACTTCTGGACATGTTCTATCACCAATCTCTTCACTTAGTCCACGAGGGAACTGCATTTCCTGATTGTCCTGTACTTCTTCACCAGTGGACTGAATTCCCCCATTTTCAACATGTACAACTTCTGGGTCCAGAACCTCGGATTCAGAAACAACAACATTGTCAACAGGCATGTCTGTGCAACTCACAACGGATCTATTTTTGATTTCAGACCCTGCTTCCACATCAGCACCTGGACAGGTAGTTTCTACAGATCCACTATGAACCTCAGATTCAGAAACATCTGCAACAGGCATTTCTGTGCAACTCACAGCAGATATGTTTTCAATTTCAGACCCTGCTGTCACATCAGCACCTGGACATGTAGGCAAGCTGCTTTCTTTTTCTTCGGAGCCACTTATACTGGATTCTACGGCTGCATTGTCAATAGGGATGATCTGGCTGTCAACACATTGAGTAACTCCTTCCAAGACTTTGGATTTTAGGTTGGAGTCATCACTTGTCAAAATTGATGCTTTCTCTTCTGACACCATAGAAGGAATTCCAGTTTCAGTTTCTGGTCTCGATTCATCAGTTCTAACAGAACCATTCTCAACTTCATTGTCTACCATATTTCCCATATCCAATTTTGGGGCTTCTGTTTCTGTGGATGCAAGATTTCCATCAATGGTAGAAGCCGGAGGTTCTGTTGTTGTCTCACTGAAGGTGGCAGGGGCATCAGGTTCTGTTGTTGTCTCACTGATGGTGGCAGGGGCGTCAGGTTCTGTTGTTGTCTCATTGATGCTGACAGGAACATCAGGAAGGGTTCCGTTAGCAATCTCAGAAGTAGTATTTAGTTGGACTGTTGTTGTTTCCTGACTGTCACAAACCAAGTCATTAACAACAACAGTCTCCTGAGCATGTTCAGTTTCATCTGGGGCAGGATCACTAACAACAAGAGTTTCCAAGTTAGCATCAGCCACAGGACCTGAAGCTGCTTCTGGGCCAAGTTCCCCTGGGGGATCAGTCACAGGAATCTCACCGGCTGCATCTGCAGAGATTTCTATCTTTTCGGAAGATTCATTTGGCTGGGGCGCGCAGTCGTTGCTATCAACCAAGTCATTCACAACAACAATATCATTAACAGACGGCATTTCTGCACCAGCCTTCAAATTGCACTCCACATTGACACCATGATCCCCCAACCGACTTTCCAACTGTTCATTCTCCTGATCCACATCACCCTCAGTAACTCTAATTAGAGAATCTTGGACTTCCGACGCCTCAACCTTCTCCCCTTCATCGTTAGCATTATTTGTCTTTGATTGTTTATCAGTGAGCTCAACAGTTGAATTTGAATCAGAATTGAGATCCGTTTGAACATGATCATCAGAAACGGCATCGTTTCCATTAACGAAAACGTAAGAGCCGTCGGCATTGGCATGACCGTTCAACAGATTCTTCGGTGATGACACCTCACCGCCATTCACATCCAACTCCGGCGCCATTGCCACAAATATAACGATAACTATAATTTAAATAATAACTAGAAACAACACACAAAACACAGCAGATTCACTTTCTAGCCAATTGAATTCAAAAAACAATCAAAACATAAACAGTCACATTAATCTAGATCCAGCTGATCAGATAAACGTACCTTTGTTTCCCGATCCGACGGCCGCACACTGTAGATCAAAATGTGAATGTGAGGTGGAAGTAGAGAGTAGATCTCTATAGGAGGAGAGACAGAGAGAAAGAGTCGTTAGAAATTTAAAGCAAGTGAAACTCTCCTCTTTCTCCGGTTACAGCAATGGCTCCTCTGTTAGATTTGAGCTCTTAAAGTTAAAACTAAATATTAACTAGCCTATTTACTTTCGTTTTCACTAATTCTATAATTTTACCATTACTATTACGTCATCCCTGTGTTAGCTTTAACCTTTTTTTTTAATTAATTAATAAATGTAGATAAATATCTTATGTCACTATAATCTCAATGATTATGATAATATAATTTGAATGAGATTAAGAGATAATAGAATAGATTAAATATCGCTGAAGTATATCCAACTGTTTTTGTTTTATTTTTATTTTTATTTCTTAATAATGAAGATTTTACAGTGTAAATAGATAGAAACAAGAGTTAAAAAGTTTCTTTCAGAAAAATATCAGAGCAGTGTAGAGACCTTTTTCTGAATCAATGTGGGGCCACCTCAACCTGAGCTAGCTAGATGTAATGTGAAACGAGAATGCACAACCGCAACCGCCTGAGAGTGATTGTGAATGAGTATTATACATAAAATCCTTTTTATAGTAATATTTTATAAAAATAATTACTATACATTCATAAAAAATTATGATTTAAATTAGTTATAAATAAAAATAAATTTATTATTATAATTTTTTAGGTCTTATATTAAGAAGCTTATCTTTATATAATAACAATTATTGAAATGAAATAAAATACAAAGTTATGTTTATCTTTTTCATTTATATCTATATTTTGAATTTATATGTTTTGCTAATTAATTATTAATATCATAAATATATTTTACCTCTATATCATATAAACTAAGAATAATTAAGTTCAATTATAACTGTGAAAGGTTTTTATTGTATATCATAATTTTGTATTATAATATAATAATTACAGGCCGTTGTTTGATGATTTAAATTTAAAATTTTGAATTGTATTTAACATATTTTTATATTAAAAAAGAAACAAAAAATCTTGGGAATTTAAGACAAGGACGTTTTTGTTATTTAATTGAGTGCAGGAAAAATCTCGTGAGTGGGTCCCAATTCTGCTTCCGTTTCCTCACTTCCTGTTGTGAGTAAAGTACTGTAATTTGTTTTTACTTCGTTGAACGAGGCTTCTTCTAGAGAGAAGAGACCCATTCTCTTTATAAAATCCCATATTCACTTTGATAATTCCATGTGACCAACCTAAGTACCTAACCTTATCTTTTAATTCGTAATTTAAACCTAAAAGTATGTCTAAGTAAGTTGTGTCTCTATGCACAAAGCCACAAGCACAAAACAAACAATATCTTTTTCTTCTTCTTCTCCTATAAATATCAATACGAAGACTAGTCTTACAGCTGTTCCTGTATTTATATGTAAGCATAACTCAAAGTCTCTTCTGACTGCGCCCTTCCATTTGTTGCTCCTTAAATCCAGCTCACATTATTATTATTATTTCTCCAAAATGGATATTTTTAATTTAATTTGTAATATAATTAAGCTATGACAGATCATTAATAATATTAAATCTGACAATGAAAATGAAGTAAAACCATGATTAGTTTAAATGATATTGACTTCAAAGGTTAAATATATCATTTTCTGCCAGCTACATATGAGTACGACTATGATATGATGCAAAATTAAAATTTTTTTTATTGCAATTAGAGGAAATTTCTAAGGTTATAACTATGCCCTACATATGTACTTCCTTAATAGTAAATAGGTCCATAAAAGCTCAAAGTAAAATAAATATGTAAATACTATTAATTTCATCCTTTTAAATTCATTGTTGGCTTCTGATTCGTTGATTTTTTTTCACTTTGGTCCCTTTATTAGTAAAATAAGACAAATTGACCAGGATTGGCAATTTTCGAGGACCACGCCACAGACCTTCATCGCCGACCCTATTCCATCAAGATGCCATCCCCCTTGACTTTAGTAAGCAGAGCCAAGGGCAAGTATCCTTGATATGCTCCTTCTATTAATAAAGAGTCTCGGATAACTCCAAAAGATTAGTTTGATGATCAAAAAATTTTGCTCATTTTATTAAGTTCGAGTGTTCAATGGACCTTGAAGCAAGCACGTAGCCATATACAAAGGTGTGGGTTCAATTGAACCCACTCAACTTAAAAAATTTATAATTTTAACCCCACTTAAATTAATATTGAATTCACTCGAGTTTTGAAAAAAATCATAAAAAGCTTTATATTTTATAATATTTACATTTTTGACCCTAGTTAAATTCCTACTTAAATGTTTTGAACCCACACACCAAATTTCCTAGCTACGTCCCTACCCTGAATAATAATTAAGGTATGTGAAAGCTATCTCAGACACTCCAATTGCTAGAAAAAAAACAACGATATCGAAACTTTTTTTTTGGAGATTCCTTGTTGAAAGAGACTGATTTTTTTCTGCCATCCCTAAAATTGACCCACATTAGTATAACCCCCACTATTCTGCCCTAGTTGATATTTTGATAAAATTTAGCTAGTTTCAATTGATGGCGCCATGGTTGATACGCGTGAGGGATGAAAGAGCACACGGGATGGGATGCCTCGCTTTGGTCCTAAACTTTTAAAAGTTTGATGAAGACAAGCACTATGATTTCCCATTGGGACCATATAATAATATCATTCATTTACCTACCATTTTTTTATTTTTTACTTTGTGTGTTCACATTCACAATCCCCATTTGTGAAGGGAGGGATTGCTTGTTTATATTTACATTATTCACATGCTGCCACATATCATGATTTTGACCACATTAAAATATCAATTATCCAGATCAAATTTCCCCAACTAACCCATCAATCTTTTAATCTTTGGTGGGCCGTTCTTGTTTCTGTATTAGATCATGCCAATTAAACTCGTAATCTTATACTGTTACTCCGTTTAACATTGTTTGTGAAACAAACAATTAAGATGCACATGACTTTTACTATTATAAATTCAAAACAGAAAAGATATTAAAGGATATGATTTAAGATTAGCAAATTATATTTTACATATTTAAAGAAAGCCCGTAATAAATTTATTATCATATATCAACATCACATTATGGGCTGATTTAATTAATTAAATCTATTATCATCAATCATAGTGATTTAAAAATATATTTCTTCTTTTACACGGAAAGAGATATTTTCAAACCACCTTTGGGTGGTCGGATGGGACGATAGAGATTCTTAGGTGTATAATTCAAGAATTCTTACGTTCAATTCTCTTTGATTGTTAATAAGAATAGCCACCACCTGGTTTATTAACTTTAGGGTCTCAAGAGATTAATCAAGCTACACGTGAACTGGCTTAAACACTCCTGGAGGATTTATTCAGTCTGTTAACGTTAGGACCTTAGGAGTGTTCGGGAGCCGAGATATGCACAAACTGACCTAGACACCCCCGCCCACCACCAAAAAAAAAAAAAAAAAGAAGATATTTTCATCTTTCAAGGATAATTATTGTTGTCGGTGGTAGAAAAATCTCAATTTTATAACAATGACCTACAATTTTTCAAAAGAGGATACCTAATTTGAGTAAATATGTGGCTAAAAAAAAAAATACCCATAAGAATTTTGTCTTCATGTGAGCACATGGAAAGATAGTCAAAATGGGAAAAAAAAAAAAATATTTGGTTACGCAACTGGTTTGGCTTTGATATTAAGAAGAAAATAGGACTAAGTGACTCTGCATTAGAATAGAGTAGAAGCAAGGAAAGCCAACAAGCTTTTGCTTCCCACATGAAATTACAATTTACAAATACTACTACATGTCTTGCACTCAATGGAATCACAATTAGATCTGTCTTTTCGTTAAAATTTGAAGCATTTTTTTGTATTATCTGCTATGAACTTCCTTAAATTATTCCAATCGAATATGCCATTCTTCTCCAAAGGCAATGGGGCATGCCTTGCCTGGCCTGCCCTCTGATTAGACAGCGATTGGATCTTTAAAATCTGTAACACGTGTAGTTTAGCCAAACCATTGCTTAAACTTGGATTTTGCTTTAAGCCTGATTCAACTTAATAATTTAAAACTGAATAAAATAATTTTTTTTTTTTTAAATTTCTTCTGTCGGTGTCGTGCCTAGAGCCAGCAAAGGTCCAATGGCAATGGGCCGATTGACAGACGGGAGAGCTTCACAACAAATGTGTATGGGCAATAAAAAACATTATACAAGACAACTAGAGACCTTTACAAAGTATTTGTATATGCAATATACAGTAAAATATGTTACAAGGATTTGATAATGGAAAGTAGATTGTTGTGAAATGGATCTGAAATGTGATCGAAGAGGTTTTGTACGGGACCTTTGCCTGTCAATGCGGCTTGAGTATAAAAACCTAACCAGGCAACCATTGCTAATCGCCCATTTTTAATTTCTTTCACTTTTAGCTCCTCGAAGGCAACTGGGTCCTTGGAGAGATTCAAGGGATCAAATATTGCTCCCCCTGGATAGTTAATATCGCCCGGCAAATAAATCCCCAGAGGCTCCAAAGCCTCGATCCCGCAATATCTAGCATATTCTGGTCCAACCTATATATGCAACAAGAGGTTTCAGAAACCACCAACACTAATCATGCAAATAATAAATGTCTAAATGGATAAATATTATTAAGCATGGACCCTCTCATTAAGTTCTAAAGCATACAATACTCTTTACCAGAACCAGACCCAGAGGTAGAAGGTAGGAGTGTAAAATGAACCTAGTTCTAAGAAAGCAACTCTTAATGAAAAGAATAGGAGGGCCATTCTGAGCTTGATTTAGAGTGAGTAGTTACCATCAGGAGGGCTTGGCAAATAGCAATCACAATTACTCCTTGGCTTCCAGCTAAGTGGAGACCTGGGATGCCAAGGTAGTCCAATGTCTCTCCCTGTGTAAAAAATTGAAGAAAGAGATAGGAAAAAGAAGTCAGTCAGCAACAAAATCGTAATTCAAAAGTTTTATACTGAAAGATAAGCAAAATCAAATTGACAAAAAGATCTGCTTCGAGAAGTTGGTTTGTGC